GCAATTCAGAAGGCACTCCGGGGGGGGGAAATAGGCACTTTTCTGGAGAATAGAAACCCTTTTGCATGTTTAAGTGATCTTCCCATCAGTTGTGCAGAAACAGCTTGATTAACCATGGAGATCTTATTTCAGTATATAGTCCAAAGAAAGCCACTTCTTTTGCTGGGGTTGCCCTTCAGCAAAGGACACCCCTTTCTGCATGCATGGGGGGGTGTGTATGACACATTCATACTGTAAGGGGTTTTCTACAGGTTGTCTCTTGTCAAGGGTGTGAGCTTGCCTTTTTATTTTTAATAGGTACAGTTTTTGATTATTAAACTGCCATTAAAAAAAAAATCACTGGAAGAGTTATTTATGCAGACTATTCTAGAGGAAAAAAGTTCAGAGTACTAGAATGGAATTCAGAAGTCACAAAGTTCATAAATTTTTTTGTTGCATTCCTAAATACAATTTTATAACTCAGATGATGAATGGTTATTCCTTTAACATTTCTCACTGCAGCAGCTTCAAAGCAACTGCAGTTTTCAAATTCTGATGTGATTATAATGTGAAAAAATGAGAAGCTAATTTGGACAAAACCCCAAAGTATCAATTATCATTAGTTATGTGATTAATTTATTTTTATTATGGTTGTAATATTGATAATGTTTTGGTGACTTGACTTGCACAAAGGGATTTCTTGTTTTAGTAATTAACATGGACAAAGATGATGTGGTATTGCATGAAGATCAGGTTTCCAGGTGCTAATTTTAGCTGCTTTCAATGGAGTTGATGTCAAGGTCATCTTGATTTTTCCTAAGGACCTGGTAGACTTCTTATACTCTCAAGGCATATGGTGCTTAGTATGTTCATCTTCCTGCAGGGGTGTGCTACTACCAGTAGAAGTAACGAATCATTCAAGGCATTGCAAATGTGAACCTTAGCTTTCTATTGTTGTACTACTTAGGGTCAGAATATAGTTCTTAGTGATAGCTAGTGTTTGGATGAGAAGATTCACAAGTGAAAAATCATTATTTAAAAAAAATGCTTTATATAATTAAATCACAAATGTGTGACTCATTAAAATTATAGGGAAAGGCATTGCCAGTCCTTAGAGTATATTAAGAATGGATGCAACTTGGGATAGATAGTCTTAAAGATTCCGTGCATACACAGAATTGAAAGTAAAATTTCTCTAAGAAAGGTGTTCTTAAAGTAGAAGCAATATTTTACTTATGGAACAGGTAAGGCAAGATTTGGGAAGATTTTCAAGGATGTAGAAGCTTTTTCTATGTGAAACTTTACTTCTTGGGACTTCCTTTGTAGGGAAATGCAGAGGACATGAAGAAACTACTAGTTGTTGTGGAGCAAATTAAAATGGGTTTGGGCCTTCAAGGGGAAAAATCCCAGCTGCTGTAAATGCTGAGGACAGTGATTTGTCCTTGCTGTGGGAAATACTGTGAAGGTCTTCAAATGCATGTCCTACACAACCCACAACAAAATGTTGAAGAAATGCCTTTCTATGAAAAGCCTACTCAGGAGAGTACTGGAGCTATTGGGAAGACTGCTATCATGATTTTGTCTCTTGGCATTATCTGGTAACTTTATTGCTTTTTAATTAAGATGTCATGCAGACGTGTAGTGCACCTTTGCCCCCTGTAAGACAGCATGTCAAATTTTTGAAAACTGCTGAGAAGATGCTTCCCTGGCTGCAGTGAATCAGGGCATATGTGAGGAAACCTACAGCTGTTGACTTATCTGTTCCACCCTTAGTAATTTTTAGAGCTAGCTCTTCCATGTGAACAGCAGTATGGTCTATACCTGCTGCTGTTAATGGCTTTTGCAGGCAGCAACAGCAGTGTGAATTGGATGTGATTCCTGACAATTTCCCTGCTACTAGCAGAATTACAGAGAGCAGTGGGGAACTGATGGGAGGCTTGTTCAGTGCACTCGGCTGCTGCTTGGCAAAGCTATTAGCAGCAGCAGATACCCTGGAGAGCTCTCTGTGCAGATTCAAGACAACATTGCATTGGTTTATGTTCAGCTATATTTGGATGGTTATCCCTGCAACCATGAAAAGTGTGTCATGGTTTAAGCCCAGCCGGCCACCCAGAACCACACAGCTGCTCGCTCACTCCCCCCCTTCCTCCCTCCAATCCCAGAGGGATGGGGAGGAGAATCAAAAGAATGCAACTCCCACGGGTTGAGATAAGAACAGTCCAGTAACTAAGGTATAACACAAAACCACTCCTACCACCACCAATAATAATAATGATAAGGGAAATAACAAGGGATGAGAATGCGACTGCTCAACACCTGCCAAACCGATACCCAGCCCGACCCGAGCAGCGAACTAGCCCTTCCGGGTAACTGCCTCCAGTTTATATACTGGGCATGATGTGCTGTGGTATGGAATACCCCTTTGGCTAGTTTGAGTCAGGTGTCCTGTCTCTGCTTCCTCCTGGCTTCCCCTCCTCCCTGGCAGAGCATGAGACTCAGAAAGTCCTTGTTCAGACTAAACATTACTTAGCAACAACTAAAAAACTATGTTATCAGCGTTGTTTCCAGGCTGAAAGTCAAGAACACAGCACTGCACCAGCTACTAAGAAGGAGAAGTGAAAATATATTTTTCCAAATCTTTAGTTTTTAAATACGTGGCTGCCTCACTCTTTTCTTCGTACCTTCTCCTATGTATTTGGCAGTTAAGTATTACTTTCCTACTGCTGGTAGTGGAATAAGTTTGTAAGCAGTTGATGAAAGGATATGCTCCTTCAAAATGTTTGATCTTTGTTCCCTCTCAGTAAGGGGGAGGGGTATTTTTGGCTTGGCAAAAAATTTTGTCATTTTTGTTATAGATGCTATTTAGCCTCTCATGTTGGTTTTGGTGTGCATAACTAACTTTTTTTTATAGCCACACATTTTTTGGAAGCATAAAATGATTATCAGAATGAAAGATCTTTGCTGAATTATGTGATTTTTGTTGCTTTGGTTGCTAAATACATGCAGATATTGTCTTCTGTAGTGTTTCTTCTGATCTCAGACATTTGTGTTGTTTTCCAGTTTTGTTTTTTGTTGCAATGGTGACTTCCTTGAAGGTTTCATTACAGCTTTATTTAGCTTAGAATGGCTGGCTGGTGGCTTCCTGCACCATTTCCATATTCTTAGAAATGTGAGAGCAAAATTAAGAAAAAAAAATTCTTGTTTTTCTAACATAGCTTATTGTTTGTACAGTGGAGGAGACAACTTAAAAATTGAACCATTAGTGCCGAGTAAGAAGCAGAGGGTCAGCCTCAGAAATATACTTGCAGTTCCACATTAAGGAAGTAATAATTGTCGAGGAATAACTTGAGAGGCAGCTTTGAGCTCTGTAGTGTAAGAAACTTTGCTTTAAAGAAATAAAATACCTAGGTAGATTATTCCAAAAGACTTATGAAAAAGCCATGATTACTGTATTGCCCACTTAATTATTAGGTGGAGGCTTTTTTTTTGTTTCTGGATCAGGAATGTTCAAGGACATACTAATTTCTTTTAAAAATCCCCAAGCCATGCTGGCATTTGTAGTGTTTGCCTTAGAGCTGACATTATACCAAGAGTACATTAGGAATATTTTTTTGGTTAGCTGATCTCAAAATGCAAATTAGTATGTGATTTAGCACTTTTACTAAATTATGAAATAATAACCTTAAAAGATAAATCACTGCAATGATTTATAGATGCTATGATGTAGCAGTATCTTGGCTAGAGTTCTCTAAAGTAAAATTAAAATTTAATAATTGTCCTTATGATTAAGATGCATGTTTACAGAAAGATCTTTGAGTTTAAATGGTATTGATAAGAAAATCCATTTAATGTATTGGTACCACTAGTGTTTTCAATGGACAATGAACTTCATTTTGAAATTAATCTTAAATAGAAGTTCTGATTAAGCCTAATCTTAATCTTAAAATCCTTGCTGTAATTTAAAATTTCTATGGAAAAACATATATTTATCACAAAAGTATAAGTATGTATTAAGCAAAACAAATCAAATCCTGATCTTCATATCTTCATTCTTCTTTAATGGGTTTCAGAGACTAAAGGGTGTTGCTAGGATGGAGTGATGTTGTCAAAACCTTCTTGTTTATTAATAAACTTTCAAGAAACCTGGTCATATCTTTTTTGTTTTATTTAATATGTTGACAATACATATTTAAAGACTTGTCTGATCTTTGAAAATAACAGTTGAAACCAGCCTTGGGATGGAGAGGAGTTTATTATTGAGACATGTCCGAGGTCTTCACCACAAAGCTTCCATGGGCCTTAGGCAGAGGGGTAAAGCCAAGCTAGATTATAGTAATGAGATTCTTCTTAGTAGCTGGTGCAGTGCTGTGTTTTGGCTTTAGTCTGAGAACAATGTTGATAACACACCGAATTTTTAGTTGTTGCTAAGTAATGCTTACTCCCATCAAGGACTTTTCAGTCTCATGCTCTGCCAGTGAGAAGGGGCACAGGAAGCTGGGAGGAAGCAGAGACAGGACACTTGACCCAAACTAGCTAAAGGGGTATTCCATACAACAGCACATCATGCCCAGTATAGAAACTGGGGGGAGTCACCCAGAAGGGCAGATAGGTGTTTGGGTCGGACTGGGTATTGGTCGGCAGGTGGTGAGCATCACTTGAGTTATTGTGCATCACTTGTGGGGTTTTTTTGCTTTTTTTTTTCCCCTTCCCTTTTCTGTTTTATATTCTCTCCCCTTGTTATTTCCCTTATTATTAGTAGTTGTAGTAGTGGTTTTGTATTATTCCTTAGTTACTGGAGTATTCTTATCTCAATCTGTGGGAGTGCTCCCCATCCCACCGGGGGGGTGGGGGAGTGAGTGAGTGGCTGAGTGGTTCTGAGTTACCGGCTGGGCTTAAACCCACGACAGGGTTAAACTGCAGAGCCTAATGGAATAATAACGGGTAGCACCATCTGCTGGCCTTCTTCTGCAGGAGTCAGTATTTTTAACGACATCTCTAATATTCGTGCTGATGCATTTTGATGCATTCATTTCTTCCCTTGCTTTGTTGGAACCTGGCTCCGTGGTTACCGTGGGTGCCGAGCCCAGCTGTGGCAGCAGGTAGCCCTCCCCTCCTGAGGCAGGCGGCTCTGGCACCCGTGGACCTGTGTTCACCCAGGGAGGAATATGTTGGTAAATCACAATATGTATTTGTGGAGGGTTGTGCATTTCATGGCTGCAGCTCGCTAAATAGGCCGTTTAGCAATCTTCTCTCAATACTTTTCTCTTGAGCACTGCCTGGGGTGCTGAAAAGCAGAGGGCAAGCCCTTGATGCCAAACATGTCTTCAATGAAGAGGCCAAGAGGAAGGGTAAGTGGAAGCCAATATGTGTGGGAGGAGGAGGGGTTCTTTGGGCTAAAAGGCTAATGGGATTGAATAACCTTCCTTATTACTGGCTGCTGCTGTGGGAGCTATGCCGCATCGCCATTTTGAGCTGGCTGCTGTGCTGCGGGTCCAGTGGTGGCAGCACCCGCAGACCGTGCGCTGCTGTCAACCCGGGGGGATTCGCTGCCGCCACCAGGCCCCATTGCGGGGGAAACGCACCCGCCGAGGGTCTCTGAACTTGGCCACAAAATGGCTTTGGAAATCTCCGGTAGTTTTTCTTCATGCTGTAGGCAGAGGCGTGTGTACGGGTGAGAACATAACGTGTTACTTGCTGGATTTTGTCTGCGTAAGAAATTGTTCCCATTCCTCTAAGAGGGAGGGTAGGGAAGCAAAAATATCTCTCCTAGCAGGGTTAGAGAGAGGCTGATAATCCGAATGTTGCATTTGTGGTGTTTAACAATGCTACATTGATGAAATGCATGATGATTAAAAACCAGCTAGTAAAGACAAGTTATATCTTCTAACTAAGTCACTGACCATATGTTGATCTAAATGAAAGAAATATTGCTTTCTGATCTTCTTATGAGTATGGAGGCATGTAATTTTAGTTTTGATTTTGTCTTGTTTGCTTTTTAATTTTGATTCTGTTCAAGCATCTGTTCAATGCTAAGTCTTGTAGCTGTTCCATCTGCTTTAAGGTAACTGTGGTCCTGATATCTTGCCACCAAAGGCAAAATACTGATGCTGTTACCTTTGGGAGTTCTTTGCTTTGTCAGATTTTCGAGAAGAACATTTACTGGAGCTGTGTGTCAAATATATGGAAATGCTGGGAAGGTTAAGGATGGGTTTCTCTAACTACAGAAATAAAGCTGAGAGAATTTTAGAATGATATTTTGTATTGATTTTCAGTATGTGGCTTGGTTGTTGAATACCCACAGTTGATTTAGTTATTCTGAAACCTATGCCATTCAACAGAATTCCTTCTTTTTTGTGTCTGTGAGCCCCTGCCAGTTTAATGTGGTTGGGTTTGGGGTTGGTTTGTTTGTTTGTATTTTTTTTTAATGCATATCTAGACTGAAAACATTTGCCCTTTTTATTTCAGGAAATGTTTATATTCTTATAAGGTGATTTTATTTCCTTTTGTCTCCTGCTACAGCCTCCTTTGTCCAAGAAGACTGATGGTTTGGGAGCATATACTAAGTTGCAGAATACCCAGGTGAAGGCAATGTCAGAAAAGCAGCAGAAGAAAAAAATAGATTTGGAAAGTAAACAAGAGAAGGCAAATCGCATAATATCTGAAGCGATTGCAAAAGCAAAAGAGAGAGGAGAGAGAAATATTCCACGAGTAATGAGTCCTGAAAACTTCCCCAGTGTTTCAGCTGAAGGAAAAGAGGAAAAGAAGGGTAGAAAAGTAAAATCCAAACCAAAGGACAAGGAGAGCAAAGAAACAAAATCTGGTTCCTTATCCAGAATTAAAGAGAAAGCAAAAATTGGGTAAGTAGTTTAAAATGTCATCTTGCTTCCTTTCAGATTGTAAATCCTTGATTAAAATGAAAACTATTTACTGATAAAATGTTCTTTCTCCTCCACTGTCTACACAAAATTCTTCCTGATTAAGTCCATGTGTGGACTCTCTCATTCAGGAACATTAAGAATGCTCTGTTTTCTCTTTAGATAAAATTATTTTAGGATGGTCCTTCTGAAAGGAATTATTTTAAATTAATATCCTAAAATATTCTGTACTTTCTTTGAAGCATAGACAAGACCAAAGTATCTTTCATCTAGTGTTGTTATTGGTTCTGACTCCAAATTAACTTATCTATACAATATGTGCTGTCTTTATCAATTTTGCCGTGTATCTTCAGTACGGTGTGCATGATAAACTGCATACGGAGGAACTGGAAGCTAAATGAGCTTGTTAGCAAGTGAATATTCTTACAGGTATCGCATGTATCAAAAGTAAAGTGCATATTGGAAAATAAGCACTTTGTCTTTGCTCATATCAATTTAATCTGCCCTCTTAAAAATTTTGCAGACTCATCTGGGTCAAGCTGGGTGGATACTGTGGGGTAAGAAGCTTTGGAAAGGCATTTGGCACTAGAATGCTCCAAGGGATTGAGTAGGTGGCACGTATTCAGTTTCTAGAGCTAACCTAATTTTCTTGTGTCCTTTTAAAGGAGTGTCTAATTTCCATTGTTAAGTATCTCAGAACTTGAAATGGAAATCTTAGCTACAGTCTGATTTTTTTACTTTTTACAATCCTTTTGTGGTAACAGGAATATTAACTGGCATAGCTCTCCAAATTTAAATCTCATATACATATGCATATTCTCAACAGAAATGAATGATCTTTTAATCAGCCCATTTCTGTGTGAGGTGGTTTTTAATTATTTTTTTCTCCCCCCCCCCCCCCGCTTTTCTTACATGTTTGAAGTAAACAACTTCCTTGAAGTTATCCTATAGAATTAAGGTTACTGCTTGTCACAATGCTGATTTATTGGCTCTCAAAGTTGTTGCTCTTGATCTCACAGTTTCAGCATGTCGTACCTTCCTTACAGCTGGTATTTGCTGTTTTAGTGTTTATTGGCTGGGGTTCTGGGCCTAAGGTTCTTGTTTTGCTGTACTTTATGGTGTCAGAGTGTTTGGACAGCATCGCAGCGTGGAGCGGTGAAACACTGCCAGCAGAATGCCTGGAACAAAACGGAGGAGATTGTACATGAAATGCAGGTGGCTTCTGTGATATCTGCAAGATGGTGGTAGCTTATGCAGACAAAGAACTAGAGAGGATCTGCCAACGGGGCTGGCCCAGCCCAGTCAGAACTTTTCCATACTATAAAAGGGGATAAGGTTCCTGTGGTGCACATAAAGAATTTCCTGGGGAAGACAGTCTGGGTGTCGTGGTTTAAACCCAGTCAGGTAATTTGTTCGCTCACTTTCCCCCCCCTTTCTTGCCCTCCCCCTGCTCTCGGAGGGATGGAGAGGAGAATCGAAAAGAATGCAACTCCCACGGGTTGAGATAAGAACAGTTTAGTAACTTAGATCACTACTGCTACCACCAATGATAATAATGATAAAGGAAATAACAAGGGAAGAGAATACAACACCTCAGCACCAGCCGACCGATCACTCACCCCCCAAGCCCCACCAAGCTCCAACCGATACCTCCTCCAACCCTGCAGTCTCCCAGCCCTTCCGGCTAACTCCCAGTTACATCCTGGGCATGACGTGCTGTGGTATGGAATACCTCTTTGGTCAGTTTGGGTCAGGTGTCCTGTCTCTTCTTCCTCCTGGCTTCCCCTCCCCCCTGGCAGAGCATGAGGCTCACAAAGTCCTTGGCCAAACCAAAACATCGCTATCAGCTCTGTTCCCAAGCTGAAAGTCAAAACACTGCACTACACCAGCTACCAAGAAGGAGAAAAATGACTGCTACTGCTGAACCCAGGACACTGGGTTATTCCTGCTTCAGGTAAAGGCAAACCCACTTGTGGGCTTTCTTTTGCTCAGGGACCTGGACATACTCCAGGAACAAACTTGCCAACAAAGTTTTCAAGCTGACAAGCAGGTGTTCTTTATTGCAGCACCAGGAGACATGGGGGGATAGCTCCTCCTGACATGTGTCTCTGTCTTGCTACACAAGCTGTCCTCATATAGTCCCTGGGCATACATACATATTCATGAGGCTACATATGGATTACATCATTTTCCAGAAAGTTCCCCGCATGCATACAGAATTGTGGTGGTGGTCTCTGAGGGTCGTTTACTTCTTCCAACAGTCTTCATCACTTCTGACAGGCTTTGAAGCATGCGCAGTAGATGCTTATACCAGTTTAATTGGTTCGTTAGCACCAGAGACATAATAATCCTCCTGTCCTCCTACTTATCAGTTTAACTGTAGCCCATCCTGGACACCTGCCATTCCCAGATACTCCTTATCCTTGCATCCTGTTCTTCTAGACTGTTTTTCTTAAAACTATGTCAACTATAATGATTTATCTTGTACAAGAATTCTCAGTATGTTCTCTAGCTGTACTCTATTTTTTTTCTCTATGTATCATGCACCTCAGTAATTTTCCATTGCTACTGCTACGAAGCCATCAAACTTAACATTGCTTAAAACTAATTCTAAAGGTTTCTATATTCCATTTTGTAATTTTGTGCTCCCCCTTGTTTCAATGTGCACTTCCAAAGTTGATTTCACTTTCATGTTTCTGAGTTTGTTTACATTCTGTAACTGAGTGGGTCTGTCTAATCAGAAAACTTACCCACAGTTGCTTAGCTAGGGTCAGTTTCTTGAAGCTGCATGTGAATTGCCCTCAATGTGCTTCCTATGCCTTCTTTTGGATAATGGACAAAACCTGCCAAAACACCATCCTTACAATATAAGACATGGTTCCCATAATATTTTTACTTGTTTTAATCAGAAAAAAATACATAAACTGTGACCTTTGATTTATACTTAAGCATTTTTTTTCTCTCTCATAAAATGCTTAGCTGTGCACATGGGTTAGGATCAGTTTCCAAGCTTTCATGACACAGCATCAAGAGATATTTCTCAAACTATGATTTAAACTATTATATTTGTGCTTGATCCAAAGTACAATGAAGCTGGTATGGAGACTCCCATTTAATTATGGCTAACATGTCATAATCTTGCGTTTAGCTGTGAAGGTTTGCCTCCCCTTTATTTATTGGTTTAATCAGCTAATGGCCCAGTAGCACTTTTCATAGAATCATAGAATCAACTAGGTTGGAAAAGACCTTTAAAATCATCAAGTCCAACCACTACCCTAGCCCTGCTAAAACCACCACTAAACTATCTCACTGAGGACTTCATCTCCACAGTTTTTGAATGCTTCCAGAGATGGTGATTCTACCACTTTCTTGGGAAGCCTGTTCCAATACCTGATCACCCTCTCTGTGAAGGAATTTTTCCTAATATCCAAGCTTTTTTTTTGTTAATTATGCTGCCAGGTATTGCTTTAACTATATGGGACACATACCTAAAGATTTGGCAGTCAGATCTTGTTAAAAGAGCTGTGGAGGGAGTATTCTAGAGCCACATATTACAGATTTTACAGAATTTCTGTGTTTTGATGGGCAAAAGTAAATCAAATACTTTGAGGTATCCACATACTTCATTTTTGTATCCAAACAGCTTCATGGTGTTATGTTGTTAGGACTACTTTATTTTATTTCACAAATACATAAAATATTACCTGCCTAGCAAAAAAAATACGCTAGTGGTTTTGAAGAGCAATAATCGCAAGAAGGCCTTGATGTTTTAAAAAAGAATAATCTTACCAGGCTGTTTTCTATGCAAATGTAACTATTGATCTTCTACAAGACGAATATTTACTAGAAAATGGCTATACTTGTATTCTTAAAGGTGGTTTAAAAAAATTGTGTGATTAATAAAATCTATATTATTTAGAGAAGGACAAAATAAAATCCAGTAACTAATAAGGAGGTTGAAGGCTAAACAAATCTTCTAAAGGTTTTTTCCCTATTTAAATGCCTAAGAAAATATTTCTGAACGAATCTTAGCATATCCTGGAAATTATGATGTCAAAATAGGACTGGGGCTTTAAATGTGTGGATTGCTAGATTGGTTTTCTATTTATATTAAAACAAGTCCTGACTCAATCTTGGGGAAAAAAATGCTACCATGCTAAAATAATACATTTAAGGGCTTTTATTGGGCAAGAAGTGGAAGAGAGGACCTCAATTCTATAAAAAGTCTTCATTTATCTTGGAAATAAATTTCCCCTGTTTAAGTTTTAACCCATTACCCCTTGTCCTATCACTACAGTCCCTAATGAAGAGTTCCCCCCCCATCATCCTTATAGGCCCCCTTCAGACACCGGAAGGCTGCTATGAGGTCTCCACGCAGCCTTCTCTTCTCCAGGCTGAACAGCCCCAACTTTCTCAGCCTGTCTTCATACAGGAGGTGCTCCAGTCCCCTGATCATCCTCATGGCCCTCCTCTGGACTTGTTCCAACAGTTCCTTGTCCTTTTAATGTTGAGGACACCAGAACTGCCCACAATACTCCAAGTCAGGTCTCACAAGAGCAGAGTAGAGGGGCAGGATCATCTCCTTCGACCTGCTGGTCACGCTCCTTTTGATGCAGCCCTGGATATGGTTAGCTTTCTGTGTTGTGAGCACACGCTGCTGGCTCATGTTCAGTTTCTCACTGACCAACACCCCCAAGTCCTTCTCTGCAGGGCTGCTCTGAATCTCTTCTCTGCCCAACCTGTAGCTGTGCCTGGGATTGCTCTGACCCAGGTGTAGGACCTTGCACTTGGCATGGTTAAACTTCATGAGGTTGGCATCAGCCCACCTCACGAGTGTGTTAAGGTTCCTCTGGATGGCATCCCTTCCTTCCATTGTACCAACTGAACCACACAGCTTGGTGTCTGAGGGTGCACTCACTCCCACTGTCCATGTCACCGGTGAAGATTTTGAACAAGATTGGTCCCAACACCAATCCCTGAGG